AACGTATCATACATATACTTATAATACTGTGATACATTTGATGCATACGCCGCGCATACATACGTGATCATTCGATGCATACACACTTAGATATAATACATACGCATATATACATTACACCGGTATCCGATAATGTCCCCACGGTAGTGTCTCTGTCGAATTCGGTACGATGTGCCGTTTATCGTCGTACGGACTTAGAGCGATTTTAGTTTCGGACACCGTGTATACCTCGTGCAGCCTCGATCGTATGCACGACTGACTACGAGTCATTTCAATATGTTCGTTCAGGCATCGCGTGTAATCGTCGAACGTTATCGTCCGTGTTATGACGTTACTCTTGTCCCTCTTGATCTTTTTGGTGTCCCTCATACCGTCCACCCTCACCGCGTACATCTTCGCCCTAAGCCCGACGAATTCCGTCATTATCGCGCCAGTATTCTCGTCCTTCATCAAACCCGGCACTTTTTTATTTGCGCGAGGCGTACGCGTTGTCTATGGGATAATCGCTCGTGTCGAATCGATCGATATCACGTTTCATCGTCTTGTAAACATCCATGCACTCGAGATGGTATATGAGTCCGTGTCGGTGTACATGATTTTGTACTTGTCGCGGTACAGCGGCAACATGTACTCGTGGTGACATTTGTACAGGCAGACTTTCGATACATCGAGTATGCACATACCCACGTAAATCGGCTTGTAGAATTGTACTTTGAGTTTACGCAGTTTGACGGCGATTACATTTTCCGCGAAGACGCTGCAGCTGTGAAAATTCGGTTTCGCGATCAGCGCCTCCGCGCCGTGTCTACCCTCCCATGTCGTCGCCAGTCTCACGTCGACGTACTTGTGCACGTTCTCTATGGTCTTACCGAATACCGCATTGTTCATTAGATTGTACAGATTTTTTTCGAAATCGTTCCTAGCCTCGGTTCTGAATTTCGTATTTAGTTCGATGTACTCGCGAAGCCATGGAGATTGCGCGAATTGCAACACGCGGTGAATCTTCGTTACGCGAAGGTCGTGGCAAGTGCATTGCTGCAGGTTGCAGTAGTAGATGACGTAACGCTTCTTACCGTTGAGTGTCGCGAGGAGCTTATAGTGCCGCGTGCCGGGCGGCTTATCGCGCGTCGGGCAGAAAGGTAGGTCAGTGTGCAGGTCGTGTAGATATTGAGGATACTCTAGATCGACCTCTAGTATATACACCGTAGGCGAATCAGAAGCGATCGTGCCCCAATCAAAGTTCTCGGCATCGTCGACCCATCGAAAGTCGGTGTAGGGCAATGGCTGACACATCGCCCAGCCGTACAAATTGTTCACGTCGAGGTACATTAGGTACGACAACGGTTTTGACGGGTCGTACGTCATGTACTTATTGTTGGCCCGTGCGTATCTGTTGGAACATTGACTGAGGCCACCGCGTATACCGCGCTCGATAAACAAGACCATATCGATGTCAGTAAGCAGTTCGAATTTTACACGCGTGTGTTTCAGCATGGCGTCCCACGTGAAACCTGGCAACGTAAAATAATGCGCGGGATCGAGTCCATAATTCGCGACGCAGCTGTCGCAAAAATTTTCAAAAACGCCCGCGAGCAACAGGACGTCCGTTTTCAGGTATAGATCGCTGAGGTATACTCGCCGAGCGTTCCGATGGAGAACCGCTGCCACACGTCAACGGCGTGCTCGTAATCGCTCTCAGACACGGTGTCGCCCGTCAACGAACTGTGAAACGATTCGCACGGCGGTAAACACGTATCCTCCAACTTTTCGAAGCGGTCGACGTACTCGTACGGAAATACGCCTTTTCTAGTGAGGAGCTCGAAATGTTCCGCTGGTAGAGTACAAAATTCGCGTTGCATTATCCGTAGTTTATCCTTTTCGAGATAAGATGTCAATTTTTCGAGACTCGAACTGAGAAATTTGAACGAGTCGATAAAGCGTAATGTTACGCTGGTTACTGAGTCGACAAGG